CTTTCCTTTACCCCACCTGGGACAGGACACTTACTCCTTTTATCTGTTGGCTGTCTGTCTCCAATCATTGCCCTCCTCAGAAGAGAGAGAAGGGCAGAAGCAATCTGTCTTCAGTTAAATGTCATTCTCTGTAACCCCCATCACCAGCCCTAATCAACCAGGTGCCACTGGGTGGATTTTCAGCTCATAGCAACCCCAAGTGACAGGGCAGAACTGCCACGTGGCATTTTCCAATGATACTCTTTCTGGAAGCAGATTTCCAGGTTTTCTCCTGGTGAGTTACTGGGTAAATTCAAACTGCCAACCTTTGGGTTAGCAGATGAGTACTTAAACTTGACACCACCAGGGCTCCTTTCATCAGCTCTTAGAGACCAACAGTAGTAAACACCCTAAAAGTTTACTGTGTGACTAGTCTATGCTCACAACAAAATGAGGGCAAGAAGAGAGCATTTATCTGTAAAGTGGCTTGCCTTGTTTGTAAAATAGATTCAGTAACCATGACTGAGAGGTCACAGAGCTACATGTGGGGAATCTCAATCTGTCCTCAAGGATTCAAGTCTCACTGCCAGCCTCAGGATAGAATGAACAGTTGCTCTGTTAGCTTCTTAAGAAAGCCCAGATTGGCGAGCTCTGGTGGCCTAGTGGCAGGAAACTGCACTGCAATCCCAGAGGTACGCGGTTCAAATCCACCAGATGCTCTGCTGAAGAAGGAGGAACAATCACCTCCTGTACCAGTCAGATCCAATTTGACGGTACACACACACACACACACACACACAAAAAAAAAAAAAAAATTAAAAAAAAAAAAAAAGAAAGCCCAGGGAAGGGGCAACTAAAGAGCTCCTGGAGATGTGGGGCAGGAAGAAAGGGTATACCTGGGAGCTGCAGCACCATACTTGTCTCAGCCAGATTTTCTGTATACCTTGATTCTCTGTCCCCCATGAAATGAAGCCAATACCTCTGCTACCTGTGCCAGCCCCAAGGGGAGGTGGAGGCCAAGACCAGTCAGGTGCTGGGAGAGTCCTGGCTGAGGAATGTTTCTCAGGAATATCAATGTCAATACGTTAATGAGCCATAATGACATAGAAAAGTCCAGTTTAACACTAATCATTGTGGACCTGACTATTCATCACTCTAGTAACAGTTCTAAGAATACAGAGGACCCTTATCTGGGTGCACTGGTTAAACAAACCTGCATTTTAGTAAAGTGCACTGCTGTCAAAGAAAAACGGACCTGCAAGAAAGGGGCCTTTTTTAAAGTGTCAGGTGACTTATACACCATGATCCTGAAGGTCCAAACATAAAAATGATCAGCAGGGTCAGTGCAGTCCTACTATTAAGTAAAGATAACGAATAAAGATAAGAATGGTCTGTAAGAGCCCTTGCCAACATGTCTGACATACAGCAAGTATTAAATAATTGCTGGAGTGAAGGCCTTTGATGATCAACTTAACTCTCTATGATTTTTCTCTTTCCCAAGTTCCTGTAACAAGTAAATGGCTGATGAAACTATTGGTCCTCCCTCTCTGCCCAGGGCAAAAAAGAGTGAAGAAAATCAAGGGCTCAAGGAAATAATTAGTACAAAGGCCCAAAAAATTACAGCCTCCACTATCCTGAGACCACAAGAACTAGAATAAAATTCAAAATCGTAAAAAAGACCAAACTTATTGGTCAAAGACAGATGAAACCCCCAAGCCCATAACACTTAGATATAGACCCTTTAAGCCTAGACCTGAATCTACCCCCAAAGATGACCTTTCAAACAGCAGACAAATCAATAAAGCAAACAGCAACACCACAGAAGAATACAGCCCTAAGAATAGTCAACCATGTAAGACAAAAGAGGCAGCATTTGCCCTCAAACAAAGCTCAAGATGGCAAGAAGGTGCCTAAAAGAAAGGCAAATGGAAAGAGGGAACCCAGGGAGGCAGTGGGAAGAGGGCTCCTATGAGTAATTCAACCAATGTCACAGAACAAAGCATGTATAAACTGTTGAATGGAAAAGAAATTTGGTCTTTCAATCTTTACTCCAAATATGAGAAAAACAAGAGGAGGGGGAAGTAGTTGCACCACACCTTTGGCTCTGTGCAAATGTAACTTTTTTCTGTTGCCAATGCTCCTGCTGTTTGTAGCTCCTTTCTCCAACTGCAATGTAAACAATACACTGCACACAGAGGTCACTCAACAAACATTTGCTGATTGATTAACTAGTGATGAGAATCTAAGCCAAACCCAATGAATAGTGATGAAGATCTAAACCAAACACACAGAATTTCCCAACATAGAATAAGAACAATAGACCTTCTCTGGAATAACAAGCACCCTGCCTCAGAGTGACAACCACCCAGAGGATCTATCCCACAACGCACTAAAGTAATGAACTCTATCCAAAGCCAGCTCCCAGCTAGCTGGACAGGGTTACAAAAGTCTTCTCCCTCTTAATCTTAACCTTACACACTTCTGTTGTTTCTACCCCAAGGTGTTTGCTACCAGCAGCACAGTAAATGCGTCTTATTCTCACAAACCCTGGGTGGGATAGAAGCAGCTCTCTGCCATCCCATAAAAAATTTTCTCAAGGAACCTCAGAAAACTTAGATGAGAGGAAAGCCACATTCTGGAGGACAGCCCCTACGTTCTAAGCAAGTCTTCACCATGAAACCTCACTACAGACTGGGTTTGGAGGCTGCACTATTACTTGTAAGCCCCAGCACCAGATCCTATCATAGTACTCTCCCTGACACAATCCTGCTCATGCTTCATGCAAGACTCCCAGTTTCCACCTGAATCCCAAGGGGATGATTGCTTCCATTTTCCTTTAAGAGGTTTTGGTTTTGTATTGTTTAGGAAAAGACTATGACTTCATGAGCTAGAGAAAGACCCCCTCAGGAAGTGGCAAGCCTCCCGCTGGAACATGCTGGATCAATATCTGAGTGTATATTTCATAAGAAAACTCTAGGGTGCATGAGGTCAAATAAGTGTGTCAACTAGAAGTCAACCTTTCCCTCTAGCACTCTCAAAGACAAAAGAGGAACTGTTCTAGAATGAGCCCACCTTTGGCCATTTAAGACCCCTTATAACCTCAAAGTAGAAAATGACCTAAGAATATGTATGAAGTTCAGGTCTATAAGGTTCCTGGAGATGATTTACTTTAGATGCTCCAGTTCCATGTCTGACATTCTTCTTCCCTTCCTGCCCTGAACCATCATGTGTTGTCATCACCGAAACAGCGTGAAAAGTTGCACCGAGATGGCACATTCAGGTGAGCCACACGTATACACAGGGATTGGAAGGAAGATGATTTATAGATTTTGTTTAAAAATAAGTTTTCAGGAACATATGGCAGCCAAAAGATATCTAGCCACGTCAGCACTTTGCAGAGGGAGGTTAGGCTTGAAAACCAACATCTAAAAATGAGTTATTTCACTACAAACAGTTGTGTTTATAAAGAAATACCAGTATCACAGCAAAGGGCTAGTGATTCCAGTTTTCCATTCTCCAGAAAAAGAATCCTATTCCCTCAGATACTTAAAGCCCTCACCCAATGACTGTTTCAGGTCCATAAGCATCATAAGGAGAAAGTGGTTCCATCCTGAAGAAAAGCATTAACCCAGCCTACCACTCCTCGGAGAAGGATATCATGCTTGGAAGAGTGGAGGGACAGAGCAGGAGAGGAAGACCCCGATGAGATGGATTGACTCAGTGACTGAAGTAATGAGGGTAGGTGTGTCAGAGTCAGTGAGACTGGTTCAGGACAGCGGAGGCTTCAGAGCTGTTGTACATAGGGTCACTATGAGTCCCAAGCAACTCGACAGCACATACAACAACTACCACTCCTGCCCCCAAATACTTGCTGCCTAGGTTAGGCAAATGTTTAACACCACAGGAATATTTACACTGTGGAAGAAAACTCTGAGATGATATATGCTAAGCAACTATTCAGTGTGGTGTCAAACACATAGAAAGCACTCAATAATACTAAGTTCTTAATAGTACAATTACCATAATAGAACATCTTTTACTATCCTTATATTTTCAAAGAATTACCATGTTATCATGGGGTACATCTTCACACACATCTAGTGGTTTCTGCCTTCCTTTGAAGGAGCCCTGGTTGCACAGTGGTTAAGCACTCACCTGATAACCAAAAAAATCTATGGATGGAATCCACCACCTGCTTCTGTAAAAAGCAAAAAGTCTAGGAAACCCTATGGGGCAGTGCTACTGTGTCCTATAGGGTCACTGAGTTAATTCCACTTCCACTAGAGAGGAGAACTGAATTTGGGAATTTTGGGGGCATGTGGGGTTCTTATCCTCTGTCTGGGTTATCGGGTATGAGACTTGGAGATCAGGCAAAGAAATGAAAGTGGTCCAGACCCTAAGGGAGAAAGCTAGGTCTGAAGAGGCCTGGAAAGGAAATAGGAAACCTTGGTCAGAAGAGTGTGGAAACATCTGTCAGATAAGGTGACAAAGGAAGTCTATGTACCAGATGTGTCACTAACCAAGGGGGTGGGAAAAGGTAATGGTGGAGGTGGCAGAACGAGTGTGTCAGTTCCCTTTGTCTCCCCAGCACTGAACCTATATCATTAGGGGAACTTGAGAAGGTGAAATGGGTCCCCGGCATTAGGAAGGGGACTGCCACTTAAGCTGAACTAGAAGATGCCCGTTAGTGTCAGCGGGGCTTGAGGGGGAACAAAGGAGAGCCCCACCCCCACACTCGGCGACCAGGTTGTAACCGGGTCTAAAATGGGTCGAGGTTACGGAGAGACAGAGCCAAGAGGGAAAGCAGAGCTCGGGGTCCAGGGTGGAGGTGGGGGGATGGCCATTAGGAGGGGACAGAAGCTCCAGATGCCGGCCAGCCAAGAAGAAAGAGTCAAGGGACAGAGTAAAAAAAAAAAAATGGAGCTGAGGATGTGAAACTGGGAGTAGTGGAGTGGGCAGAGAGGAAGAGCGAGTTAATCGAGAGAGGATGGAAGGGGAGCAGCGTGCCCTCGGCTTCTCACCTTTGACGTCGTTGGCCAGCGCCTTCCACGTCGGGGCGAAGGCGATGCAGTGGCCGCACCAGGAGGCGAAGAACTCCACCGCCCAGGCGCTGCGGGAGCCTAGCACGGCGCCGCGCACCGTGTCCGCCTGCAGCAGCGTCACCGGGTCGGATGGCGAGTACAGCGCAGACCGCTGGGCCGCGCCCGAGCCGGGCACCGCCATCAGCAACAGAAACAGCAGCAGCAGCGGCGGCGGCAACGGCGGCGGTGGCTCGGAGCTCCGGCCCGCGGCTGCCGAGCGGCGGCCCCGCATCCCCATCCTCGGCGATGTGCCCTACGCCGACCAAGTGTACAAGTTTCCGAAGAGCCGAAGCCTCCGCGGCCCCGCGGCGCCTCCAGCCTCCGCCCGCGAGGTGGAGCCACGTGGTCACGCCCCTAGGCCCGCCCCCCGCCGCGGGGTCCGCCCCTTTTCGCCTCGGCTGCTCTGCGAGAGAGCATGTGGGCGGGGGGCGGGAGCGGTGCGTCGAAACCCGGCCCGCGTGGCATGTCCGCCCTTGCGGGGTTCGCAGACTTCAGAGCGGAGGTCCCTGATCCGGCCTCAGATCCCTGAAGGCCCTTACCTCAAGAAAATAGCTGAGAATCCTCAGAGCAGCGGCCTCAGAGCAGCGGCCTAGACAGTGGTTCTGGTAGCAGGATATAACCTGAGGTTATTTGGGGTCTCACAGCCACCTCGTATCCAATGAAGAGGAACTATATCTATACTATTTTAGGCAAGTTTTAGGGAACTCTGGTTGCCTCCTGTTAAGAAGCTGCTCTGCAATCCCTAAGGCACGCAGTTCAAATCCACTAGCTGTTCGGTGGGAGAAGGATGGACAATCTTCTGTGCAATTTACTGTTTCTAAAAACACACTGAATCAGCTATGGCTCAGATCCAACTCAACGAAAAACAACAACACCAGGCAAGTTTTAAGGGTCTGAAAAAAAACCCAAAAAACCAGCAAGATTTGTCTCTTAGAAGCAGATGGTAGAAATGAGAGACTCTGCTAATGGTTCTCCAGCCTCCGCCAGTTAGGACACTGAATCTGTGATGCTCTGACTCCATAGAGATATGATCCATCCCGGGCTTGTGATCAGTGAACAAGGTAAACATTTCAGGGTAAGCAGCTTCTTTTTTTCTTAATTGCATTTAGAATTTTATTAATAAATTTTGCCGGTAAGCAACTTCTATCCCTGGTCTTTTCAGGCCATAGTTTTGGGGTTTTTTTTTCATAGTTTTCTTAATCACCTGCTATCCATCAGAGAGCTGGACAATGAATAAGGATGACAGAAGAATTGATGTTTTTGAGTTGTGCTGGAGAAGAGTACTGAAGATCCCATCGGCTAATGAAAGCCTTGGAAAAAAGTGCAGCCAGAATGCTCCTAGGGGACAAAGATGATGAAACTCTGCCTCTCATGCTTTGGACATTTTGCTGGGAGAGGCTGTTCCTTGAAAAGGGACATCATAGTGGACTGGTTAAACACTTGACTGCTAACTGAAGTCATCAGTTCAAATCTACCTGCTGTTTCTGAGGAACAAGATGGGACATTTTCTTCAGTAAAGAGTTCTAGCCTTTTAATTTCTATGGGGACACACACCTCCACTCTGTCCTATAAGGTGGCAAGGAGTTTGGTTTGAGTGATATTTTAACAAGAATCTCAAACCAAAAACCTTACTGTCAAGCCCAATTCACAGTGACCCAATAATAATCTGGAAAGGCATACTTGCATTTAGAAGCAATGGCCCTCAGCCCTCCTCCTTTCCCTTTGCACTCGAGCTCTCCCCACAAATATGTCTATACCTATGACACCTCTGTTAACACATTCACACTCCTGTAAATAGCCTCCTATTAGCCATTGCTTATCCCTAAAGAGAATAAACTCATAGAAGAGGCCAACATCGTATCTAGAATCTAGGCTGCTAATACTGAGACAGTGAGTTTGAGGGTTCCAGGCACCCAGAGGTTAGGTATATGATTTGGGAGGGACAGGTGCTCTGGGTGAACATGTCCAATTGGCTCTTGAACTCCTCCTTCCAGAGAAAAAGGGGGTGGCTGGAGGAGGGCCAGGGAGTTCAGGGCTCAAGGTAAGAGTATCTCTTACCTTACTCGTCTTGTGTTTGTTTAGTGCCATCAAGTTGACTACAACTTATAGTGACCCTAGTCTTAGTGAACTTCTAATGTAACATTTGCGCAAAGACTTGGATGAATTACAGGAGGCAGTCTTGTAGTTTAAGATTGCAGGATGATGTCTTGAGACTGGGGCTTTACTCCCTTAATGCACTCACATTCTCTTCATCTAGTGTCTTGAACTCATGAAGAAATTAGGCCGCCCTTACCTACTGATGTAGCACATAAATAGCTGTGTTCTAGTCCACCCGCAGTTCTGCAGTAGAAAGATGAGCAATCTTATCCCGTGTGATTCACAGTTTCAGAAATCCACTGGAGAGTCAGCTATGAATTAGTTCTAACTCAACGGCAAGGAGTTAAGAGTTTCTTGTACATAGAGTCGCATGATTTGATGGGTGAAGGGAGGGGTGAGTAAAGGAAATGCAAAAGACCCAGTGTGAAAAACAATGTATACAAATTTTGTATGTAAACCAGTAGAGAATAAAAATGTTATTTAAAAAAATTTATTGTATTATTAAGGAGCTCAGGTGTCCCATTGGGCTGCTAACTGAAAGGTTAATGCTTTGAATCTACTGGCTGCTCCAGAAAAGAAAGATAGGCAATCTCTTCCCGTAAAGCTGTGTTGGAACCCTGATAGAGGGTTCCTATGAGTTGGAACTGGCTCCATAGTGATGGATTTGTTTTTATTGTAGTATTGGTATCTTCTAGGATCAGGCAAGTTTTTGATGTGTTACACCTAGGGTCTCTCTAAGTTGGAATGACCCAAAGGCACATAACAACAACATTCCCTGCCCTGGCCAATTCCAATTGCTAAGTGCAGCTCCCTGGGAATCAATCCCTATACAGATTCTATTATCTCACTTCCTGCCTGTCTAGCAAACACTTGGATCAGGCCTGGCCAGGGATTATCAGGACAGATAGTCCCTTAGTAACCTTGGATTCTAGGAGCTTGGAAGTACTCCAGTGGCTAGATCTGGTGCCAATAAAAGGCAGTTGCCTTTGAATGTCTCTATAATGAAACTGTGTTATCCTTATCTTCTCCAGGGGCCTGAGAATTAAGGAGATAATGTCTACTGAATATGCTGGGCTTCTGGGAAAGACACCACAGATAAGAACAAGTGTTCTCTTGTTCATGTATCAGTTTCAGGGTATCAAAAATGAGCTACACTGTGCAGAGTGCTCAGCCCTGGGCCTGCCAGCTTTGTTCTCTCCTTCTAAGCTCAAGGCCTTTACCACAAACATGTACCTCTAATCCTCCATCAGGCCAAGAAGCCCTTCTCTTGATATTCATTAGAGTTGGAGGTGCCAGAACAGGACTATATGTCTTGTGTCTGGCATTGGTTAATCCAAATATCAGTTAGGATAGAGCAAATAAGGCAGGACAAATTAGATCCCAGTGGTAAATAAAAGTTCTATTCAGTGAATGCAGGTTGCAGCAAACTAAAAAAATAAGGCCTTGACCTCTAATTAAAATGCTTTCCTATAAAACTGCTAGGAATGAAGATTTTTCAAAAGCCATCCACACTAGTCCCCACTTAATTATGATCTCTTTCTTCCCTTAAGGTGTGAACTTACAGTGTGAAATCACGTTGGCATTCCATGCTGGTGTCTGCGCTGAGTAATAATTTTTTGAACCTTAAAAGTAAAATGGAAAAGAATGCAAACTTTTTGAGTGAAATAGTGTTTCTTGGCAAGGAGCCAAAACACCAGGACATAGTTGTAAAATCTGCATCTTAAAATGCCATAGAACAGGGATTTGCAACTTTAAATAGTTTTAGAAGACTTTATTAAAAAAGAATCTTGAAAGGAGCTTAAGCAAATAAAAGTAAGCAGGAAGATGTGACCTAGAATGACACTCAGTTGTGTGGCCAGTGAGTGCTTCTTGTGAACCCCAGGGTCCCTTAGACTATCATAAATAAATAAATCATTGGCTTAGAATGCAGGCAATTTAACAATGACAGCTTGCCCTGTTGGCCCTTCTTGAAGCTTCCTGTAATGAAAAGGTAGCAGAGAAGGAAATCTTCTTAGGAATGAGAAATAGAGAAGAGTCATGGAAGGAAGCATTGGAAGTGGGAAGATTTAGCGATGTCTATATAGGTGCCTTTTCTAGCCTTTCCACACACAAGTTACAGCAAAGTGGGTCATGATGAATCAAATGAAACAATAACAGTAGTAATAGCTAATAGTAATAGCCTCCCATTCTAAACACTTACAGATGTTACTCATTTAATTCTTACTTCAAGTCTATGAGGTTGGTGGTTATTATGTTTACAGATGGGGAGACTGAGGTAGAGGGAACCCGAATGACTTTCCCACTTGCAACTCATGCTTGTGTTATTAAGAGACGGAGAATTTGGAAGTCTGACAACCAGAAATGAGATAGATGGTGAGAGGAATGCAGCTTACACACAAGTGCAGATAATTACGGTGAGCAACAGAATAGTGCTTAATAAAATATGTCACCGGGTAGGAAAGCATTAGATGACGTGCCACTCACACATTGCACCAAGGATCAGAGAGGATGTGTGCAACAGGGAGGCAAGTGCCCAGGGGCCTGGGTGTGATGCAGGAACAACTGAAAAAGAATAAGCCTCTGTCTTGTCCCTTCAAAACTTGCCTCTTGATCTTTCAGGTGAATTTCTACATAAAACTGGCAGTAAGTGGGGACAAAGGTCTGTACCAATCAGATATAGCAGGAAAGAGACATTATGCTCAAGGAGTTTGCTGACAGGGACTTAATGGAAAGACTGGTGATTTGTGCAGGGTCAATGGGACAAATGACATCGTGAGGTGCTTTGGAAGTCCTTCTGCACCCCTAGATAGAGGAGTGACGACTGTGAGGAGAACTGAGGAGAGTTGGAGTTGAAAAAGAGAGGCGACCTAATTGGAGCCATTACCACAAACTACCACTGCCAGAAAATATCAGTTTGACCTTCTCATCCAATCCTCCGAATTCTTCCCACTGCAGAGGGTGAGGGGGCCCTGACCGTAAAAAGTCCCTGTCGCTGAGCTGCTGAGGGGTGCCCAATTTTCCCCTTGAAAAGACTTGCAAAGGTCTTGCTCACTTTGTGATACCATGAGAAAATTTCTTCTAGGGAAATTCTAATTTAAGTGGAGCAATTGTGACATAGTGCTTTTCATGTTCTGACTGCAA